TTTAATTTTCCAGGTTTTAATTAATTCTGTTGTGAGAACTCTTTTCTTTATCCAAATTAGGATAAACATGTTTTGATGATTGTTTATTTTTCATATTAAATGAAATATATTTATGTTTATGTTCAAAGACAGACACAGACACTATATTTATAATATACATCATGGAATAAGTAAGTGACCTTAAAGATTTATTAATGGCCTCACTGTCAATAGTATAGTGTTATTACCAGGTTAATTACAGATTTAAAATTCTTTAAAGTTAATTGTGTGTTATATACCAATTGGGAATTTATTCTCCTTCATCCTGATAATGCTGATTAACATGATAAACTGGCCAAAACTGTTTAAGATTATCATTAATACATAAGAACCACCTTTCCTCACTAGTCACTTGTCTACTCTCTACCAAATAATGTTAAAATAGGAGGTTGGATATTTTAGAAACATCATCAGAAAATGATTACCCTTGTTCCTCACTGGAGAAGATTTCTCAGGTACTATTAACAACCAGCAAAGCAGTAAAGTTCCAAGGCATTGATTCATATATACATGTTTCCAGCTAACGATGTTAATATCCTTTTTCCACTAAAAATTATTAATAAATATATACCTATTAGAACCTTAAACTGAAGATTCTTAAGGATCCTCCAAAAGCAGATGATCCTTGAAGGGCAGTAGCTAACCCCAAACTTTCTGATGAGCAGATGAGGGCACAGAGTATATAGCCTCCAGCCAGGATAACAGAACAAGATTACTTTTATATATCTTTGTTCTCTTTTTTTCTTTGATTTATTACTAAAATTCTTTATTATGTTAATTTGGTATATCTTAGTGTCACCTAAAGGTTTTTTAATGCATTTAAACATATTTTTACTGTAATTGTAGCCTAATATCATAAAGTGTTTTTCTGCTGTCTTATTTAGAGCACAACTTGTGTATGTGTCTGTGTGTGTGAGATAGAGAAAGAGAGAGACAGAGAGAGAGAGGGAGACTATAGTACTCTTCTGAATCTGAGTGCTAGATTTGCCATTACCCAAACAATCCCATTTAGTAAAATTTATTAATTCTTCCTTTACACATTTGAGAAGACAGCTTTTCTTCTACAAGTCCCTTCTGGTGTTGCATTTTCCTCATATCATTAACCTCAATCTTCGGTATTTTATATAATGAACCCTTACCTAGAGTCAACTCAATACTTTAACTCAACTTATTACATATTTGCCATATATTCAAGGTCAGTAGAGATGGTGAAAAATATTAAGACAATTTTTATTACAGTAGTAAGTATCTTCATATACTCTCCAGTCTGTTTTACAGGTACTATTTTATTCCAAAGATAATTTGCTGCACTTGAAAAACCAAAAATTATCCCACTCCTGTGATGATAAATGATGCTTAAAATCACAATGCAGTTTGTGTTCCACAGGGGGGCTTTTGCCTACCTAACACACACAAATCTATCTTGTACGTAAGAAATAATTCCTAGAGACTTGCATGTATTTAAAACCTATAGCTTTCAAATAAGAAATTATTAAAAGCAAGGGGGTGGGTGGGTAATGACTGTATATAACATTAAATAATGTAATATAGGTGTAGATTCCCAAATGCATGTACAGATTGACTATGGAGTACTTTTTTCTGATGATGATGGGTGTGTAGAAATGTGTGAATTTGGGCGGCTTTTTACATTTTGCCTACGATTGCATGAAACGCTGGGATTTTTTAAAAATGTGTGTGTCATATTTGTTTTGGGAGGGAGGTTGTTTTCTTCTGTTTCTTTTCTGAGACTCCTACAGGAGCTGAATTTGTAAAATACAAACATTTAATTCTGTTAATCCTGTCTGGGACACTTTAGTAACATCTAAAGCATTTTTGGTTTAGAATATTCAAATAAAATTTCCTAACCAAAAAACAAAAACAAAAACAAAAACTTATAGTTTTCCAGTGAACCACATTTTCCAGAGAAGGATATCTGGTGAACATCCAAAATAAATTAATATGGGTTACTCAGAAAGCTCCCAGGGGAGGTAACTGACTCCCTCTTTCTATCCACTGTCTTAGGTTGCTTTTCTCATAGTAAGAAATATAAAACTGATCATTTTCCTCTTGGCTGGCCAATGAGATATTTTTGCCACATTTAAGACTTTATGTTGCACCTATGTGAACCCCACATTTTAGGTGAAACACAGTATGGCTAGGCTAAAGGAAAAGGTCTCCTGGATCTCAAAGATATGCTAAAAAGGATTTGGTGATGTTTTTATGCTGCCTGGGTTTGGTGATGTATGTCCCTGGCTCCACAGCTTATTGCATAGACTAGTAATCACTGACTTCCTGGTAATTGTCTGTATTTCATTTGTTCAATGCATGCAGTTTAGAGTCTTAAATACTACGGCATAGCTATTGTCATATCAAATAATTAATCAGATTATCCTTTAATAAAAGAAACATGCAGAACTAACTACAGGTTGTTTTCTAAACAACATTCTGATCAATAAAATTCCAAAAATGATTATCATCTGCAATGCACAAACTGATGTTTCGAAGGCCAATTGCATCTGCTTTTGGCCAAGAGGGATCAGGAAAATATCCTGCCAGCAGTTATTAATAGTTCACGTCATTCTCTGTTGAACATAAACAAAGCTGAAAGAGCATACACAATATACAGATAGGACATTCTGTGATAAAGTCTGGAACAAGATGGAGAAAAAGCCAATGGGAATAACTCTTCTGGCTAACATAGCTAACTGCTTTTTCTTTACCAGTATTTATGCTAGCCCACTTTTGTCTTCATATTTCCTAGATAAAAAATATACTAAAATACAATTCCCAAATATCCATGTTTCTTGACCACATCCAATCTAGAATCCTCCCCAAACTTCCAAGATCACAAGCTCACATTGTGTAACAATCCCCTCCCAACTCTCTGAATTGCCCAGTGGTTCTTCTGGAATGCTTTCTTGCTTGCTGCATCAAAATTAATAAACCGAACTTTTTGAGTGTAGATATATTCTTTGTGATCTTAGGTTAGTAGTTTTAATAATTTCCACAGAGGAGATAATCTTCAAGGTTGTTTAATTTTCCTTCCCCCAACATATGGGAAGCACCATCTTGTGATTAATTTTTTGATAGTACTTTCCCATAGAAATGGCTTAATTATTCAACATGAAAATCATGAGAAGATCAAAAATATTCTCTCAAGTTATGGACAAGTTGCACATTTTTGCCTCAGCCCAATGGAAAGAGAGCCTAGAATCAAGATGGGTCATAAAATTACGATTACTTCAGTGTACAGAAAGGATACAATTATCTTAATATGTACATACTTTCTTCTTTGCTCCCATAATATCTTTTACATAGTGTCATTTCACATGCCATATTTTGTTGTAATTTCATTATTTCCTCTCTTTTTAGATTGTGAGTTTCCTAAAGTCTGACATCGTGCTTTATTTACTGGTGAAATTATATGATACTCATTACATACTTTATCCTCAATAAATATTTTTAAATGGATTTTCACCTATAAGAATAATAAATGAAGGATGTTTCTAAAGCTCTTGCAAAAGTTTGGTTCTCTTCAGAAAGTAGGTTAGACATTTTCAGGCCTGAATAGAGGAATGAGGAGTTATTGCTTAATGGTTACAGAGTTTCTGTTTAGAAGCTTTAGTTAGCAGTTTCTCTAATAAGGTTTGGGAAATAGTGGTGATGATTGCACAATATTGTAAATGTAATTAATGTCAATGAATTTTACACTTAAAATGGTTAAAATGACAACGTTTTTGTTATATATATTTTACCATAGCATAATAAAAAAAACTCTAGTCTCTGTTTATATGACCTGTATTCATCAATCACCACATTACAAACTAAGTCAACAGTGGGTAGACTGAATCTCAGACCCTAGAAAAAGAAAGAGACATGGATACTGAAGTTGAAAAGTAGAATGAATGCCTTAAAAGATCAAGAGTTTCTGGCAATAAACAATATATGATGAAAAATTGACTCTGGAGAATGTTACTGTATCATGTAGAAGAATAGACTGGCTACTTACACTTATTTTTTTCCAAAGGGGAAAAAAACCCAAAAAATAAAAAATGGCAATTCTTATGGAAGGTAAGTCTGTTCTGAAGCATGAAGGCCAACTGTTTGGGGAAAGATTCTTGTCACACTGACTATGAGCCTAGCATTAGCGGGAAACTCTGTGTCCTGGCAATTCTTATATACACAAAGGGCTGTTGACTAATTGAGGTAAGTAAAAGGTAAGATCAAGTTCACAGCAGCCCTCAGAATTACGTGCATGTTAGAATATCAGGAAAAATGCAAAAGTCATCAGTCATGAGGTGAGTATATTAGCTACCAAGTGACATCTTTTGAAATACTTCCTTGAAAAACTTGTGCTATAGGTTTTCCATGGAATTATGTACTTTCAAACTTCTCACAATAAATCATCCAGAAGTCATCGATTTTAAACCTAATCCCAGATCCAGAGAATCTTGGGCTCTTACAACCATCTGTGGCCTAGTCTGACACCCTCACTGAAGACTCTCGTAGCCTAAGAAAGTGCTGACAATAATTAATTAATTAATGTGTGTGTGTGTGTGTGTGTGTGTGTGTGTGTGTGTGTGTATTCTAAATTCCTTAACTACTTCTAGCACGTGGAATTTCTATATGTGGAGAGAATAACTCCCTGGCTCTTACTTTCAGGTGTACTGTTATTATACATTGCCTCCTCACCTTTCCCTAAAAAGATTCAAGACCTACAGGCCTGTTAACAGGCTACATGATAATTTTACAGGAAAACGGTATTCTATGGTATTCTGTACATACAGCAAGTTTAGATGCATTGTTCTAAATAGTTCGAAAACTCTCAGATAATACATGATCCTGGCTTGCTAGGATTAGCAGAAACAGCGACTTCTAGTCCAAGTAAAAGAGGTGCTGAAGAAGGCAAAAGATTAATTATAACTTTCCCAATTAGACCTTGGGGTATGTTGCAAGTATATTTACCTCCTCCTCATAAAAAAGCCAAATATTCTCAGGCGGATCTCTTTGGTATTAATGCCGTATACCAGGGGGTTGAGAACAGGGGGCACGAGGAGATAGAGATTTGCAAGTACAATGTGGATCTCAGGAGGTACTTGATGGCCAAAACGATGTGTGAAAAAGGAAAAAAAGGCAGGGATATAGAAGACAAGAATCACACAGATATGGGCTCCACAAGTGCTAAATGCTCGGAACTGGGCATCCTTGGAGGGTAGGCGCAGCACAGCCCTTAGGATCAGGACGTAGGAAGTGGCAATGAGGACCACATCCATGCCAGTGATTGAAAGTGCCACAGTGAGACCATAAATGGTGTTGGGCTTGATGCTGGCACAGGCAAGCTTGGCTATGCCCATGTGCTCACAGTAGGTGTGGGGGATGATGTGATGTCCACAAAAGGGTAAGCGTTCAATAAGGATGACAAAGGGGAAGACAAAGAGAAGACCACGAACCACACATGCCAGACCAATCTTCCCAATCATGGTGGCGTTGAGGATGGCTGTGTAATGAAGTGGACGGCAGATAGCCACATAGCGGTCAAAAGCCATGGCCAGCAGAACAGCTGACTCTGTGGCAAAGACTGCATGAACAAAAAACATCTGGGTGAGGCAGCCATGGTAGGAAATTATGTGAGACCTAATCCAGAAGATTGTTAGCATTTTGGGCAATGTAGTTGAACAGAGTACCAGGTCAGTGATGGAAAGTAGACACAGGAAAAGGTACATTGGCTCATGCAGAGCTGTGTCTGTCATGATGATGTAAAGAACAGTACCATTGCCTAACAAAGCAAGGACGTACATGGAGCAGAAGGGGATAGCAATCCAAACATGGTGGTCTTGCATTCCAGGGATTCCAAGCAGAATAAATGCAGAAGGGTGGGGGGCAGTGTCATTGGGCACAGAGGCAGAGAGCATAATGATGCAGAGAACAGAAGGCTTTATCTTCCTAAAAGTAGTTAAAAAATGAAATGATGTCACCACAGATGTCATTTACTCCTCTTAAATAGTCACTCAATTTCTTGCCTTTCTTCATTCCCACCAATTCTACTCAAATTCATGCCTTCCTCATTTCCTGTCTGTTATTAATATAGCTCTGTAACTAATATGCCCACTTTCAGAATTTCCTTCTTCCAGTGAAGCCTCTGCTTTGCTGCCTAAATATTCTAATGTGAGTATAATCAATTGTAATGTAAATATAACTTCTCTAAGTGTGTGCTATACAGAATACCTCCCATTTAAGCTCTTCCATGCTACCCTCCACAGCTTTCTATCATGTTCTGGGCCCTAGGACATTGATCTCTATGAACTACATTGAGGGCTGCTCGCCCTCTCACTTCTGGTTGAATTAGGCAATAGGAAACACCAACAGGAGAGTGGAGAGAAAAATAAGAGTGAGGTTAGCTGTTTATTCCTTCAGCACCCTCCCAGTAGGGTTGTTGCAAGCTCACTGCATCCTTGTCTAACAGTATTCTCTGGCCCTGGTTTCCTCTGGTAATATCTTCTTCTTGTCCCTTAAGTCCGATGGTTGTAACAGTGCCGATGTCATGCACCCAAGGAACATCACAAGCACTTGTGATTTACCTACACACACCCACACTCTTGTAAACGGTTTCCGTATTACATTCTCCTCAATTTACCTAAACTGAGTGTGCAATCCGTTTCCTGCTGGGATCCTGATACAACGGCATGCAGAGTCCTTCTTGACCTTGCTCTTGCCTACCTGTCTAGCATTATTAACCACCATATCTCACCATATACTTCATGTTCCCATCATACCTAAGTACTGTGAAATGTCTAAAAGCACGCTTTCTCCCACTAGCATGTCTTTTTATTTGGTGCTTTTCCTGAACAGAATGGCTTTCTCCATTTGATCATCTGGCAAATTCCTAGTATTTACTCAAAAATCAGCTGAAGACATCCACCTCCATGAAGTCCTTCTATCATGCCTTCTCCTATGGAGAGAGACCACACATTTTCAACATGCCTCCCTTGGGGAATATAAAATTGTTTAATAATTATGTGTATGACTCTCTCCCCATTACACTGTGAAATTTTTGAGTCTTATTTTTTCTCTATATCCAGCATCTATGCCTTATGTACATTACAACAACCAGTAATGCTTAATGATTAATTAATGAAAGATTAAACAGAGTAATTGAATTTTTTAAATGGACTTGAGTAAGTGACTATGTTTGGAAAAATGATATTCCCTTTTGGGAGCCTTGTTTATGAATCAGATAAGATCTTCCCTTGCTAGTTCTATGATTCCTAACACATTCTTTTCACTCTGTATGTTCCAGGAGGTGGTCCTTATCACCTCTTGTTTAATACATTTATAAATTAATCTAATCTAATTTATGTAATAAATTTCTGTCTGCCTTCTTGATTAATCATATGCATTAGTTGGATTATAAAACATATCTTCCTTAGTCTGCTTTGCCAGCTTTAGAATGTAATATTTTAGAATAATGATACTTTAGGTCCAGTTAGTCCAGAAGCCACATAGGTATGTGCTCCAGCAAACATCCAAGGAGATGAAGCATACCATAGGAAGGGAAGAAGAAAGGGAGAGACTGGAGCTTTCAGGTAATTTAAAATAGAGAAGGTTTCTCAGAATGCCTGCTTCATGGTTTGAGGTTATGCCAACAGTAAAGGAAAAAGAGAAAAAATTCTGGAGCCATCTAGCCTTGGGAGACTCCTATAGGTGAAGCCAGAATCATCATTCTTACCTTGCTGAAGTCCAATCTTTGGGAGTCAAAGAATCTTGTTTTTAGAAGGAATATTAATATTAAGTTTATCCAGTAATTCTCACCTAAAAAGAATTTTAGAATATGGAAGAACCTAAGGTAGGATTAAAGTAGTCTGTGATAATTATAAAGAATATTCTTCCTTTAGTCACCTGAGCACCCAAAGCTGCTTTATCAAAAGATTAATAGTACATTATGAATTTCATTTGTTTTGGTAATTGTAATATGTATTTCTTATATATGACTGCAAGTTTATACTAACTTTATACTAACAGTCACTGTAAATTTTGCAGGTAATGATGTTATTACAAATTTTAATGATTAATAAGATTATTTTGTTTATATTTTAAAACCATGAAAATAGTTTACTACCAATTTTACTGTACTTTTATACATCCTTAAGAATTCAAAAATTCAGCTACAACTTTCAAAAAAAGTGATTGTAAACATGTCAATGCCCATCTTAGAAAAAATATAAATGTTTTTGCTTCTATCCTGGTAATACCTTGGATTTTTAAATAATAGATAAATAAATGGACCATAATCTTGTCATCTGGTTGGGAAATAAATCACAAAGCATATATAGTTCAATAATTATATGATGCTTGACTCTCAAATGTGATATACTAAAATGTGATCACATGGCACTTCCTTGTACAACACATCTCTAGTAACAGGGAAATTATGCTTTCTTAAGGCAGCCATTCTAAACCTCAGACTATCTGAGTTTCAAAACATTTCTCTTTTCATTGAGTCAACATGTGTAACCACATTCCACATTAAACACTAGGATTTCTCTTCAATATCTTAGGCTTCCAATTTTTTACTCTTTCTATGGCTTCTCTTTCATTTCATTCCTTCACTGAACTTTTTTTTGATATTCTTTTATGTACCAGTTATTCTTTCAAGTGTTTTAAATACATTGAAGAGTGAGAGCATGCATGGTTGAGGATATATTAAGCTTATTGTCTAATAAGGAATAATTAGTCAAATAATCTCCAATATATGCATAAAATGCTTCATAGATGTATTCCATTAAAAAAAGAGTTCCTACTCAGGAAAAGCTTCCCTGAAGAAATGAAATTTAGTTTCCAAATTCGAGTCTTCCTGAAATGCTTCAAACATCTCTTGTATGACTCAACTCCCAGTGTTGTTACCCTCCTGAAGGCCTCCGGCTGTTGTCTAGTCTGAAAAATAAGGGATCAGGACCTAGGCTCAGATTTCCTGGGTTCAAAATATCACTCTACTGCAGTTACTTGCTAACTGTATTACCCTGAGCACTTTTCTTATTCCCCTCTGTCCTGTTTCTTAATATAAAATTCAGATAATAATACTTCCTACGGTTTTGTGTAGGCTTAATTGAGAAAAAGCATGTGAAACATATATTATATATTATTAGTCTCTGTAACTTAATAAGCATTACATATAATGCTCACTGTTATTTCTTATTATTTTAAAATCTCTGAGTTCATTGCTGTATGTACTCACTTCTCAAAAGAGGAAACTTTATTTAGTTCCTCATTTTGAAAAACATATTGGCTTTTCTTGAGTCTGTAATACAAGGGTGAGGACATTTTGGTTTCACCTTCTCCTAAATCAAAGACTCTCTTCAAAGATTCAAGACTTGTCCTTAGCTTGGTTCGAGGAATTCTCACAAGGTATGAAATGGGATGACTCCTCAGTAATTCCAATCCCACCAACGTGTTACTGCGCTGAAATCCCCTCATTAATTTCCTTAGGTCAAGAAGCTATTGTGACATTTAAGATCCTTCTACACAAAAGGAGCAAGTGTGTTCTAAGCTGCCACTAAGAGCAGAATAAGGAAGAAGGAAAGCTTGTCTTATTTTTGTTAAAGGAAGAACTTCTTTAGAGGCAGTCACCTGATTTTTCCCTGGATAAAAACAGATCTACACATGCTGCAATAGGATTTCTAGCTTAGTAGGTATCTAAGGTTTCTGCACACAAAATTCCAGGATTATCTACATGGAGGAAATGAGATTTTGAGGGTACCAGCTGTACTCAGACATTGGGGAGACAGGAAATCAGATGAGTTTACAGACTCATTTAGGCTTTCTGGGGACACTGAGAGGATCCTAGGCACTCAGGAGCAAAGTTACTCATTAACAATATATATAGCTTCACTCCTACCTTGCTAGCATGACCAATACGAGTGAGCTCAAGATACAACTATTGTGCTCCACTATAGTAACCATTTCATTATCTATATGTATCTCATAACATCCTATATTATACCTTAAATATATACAATAAAATTTATTTTTTAAAAAAGAAATTCTGACCTCATCGTTGTTTTAAGAAAGGCTGCTCTTAGAAGTCCATCTGACTGGCTTGCCTTGAGCCCGTATGGCAAACAGCCAGAGACAAAATCTCTAACTGAAACAGGAAGGATTCACATGCAAAGCAAAGAAGGACTTACTGATGATAATTTTTGGCATAGATCAAGGTAACTCAAACACCTGAGGAATTCAAGGAACCATAGTTTGTATAATAGGTAGTTTGAGATGACCTTCAGAATAGCCAAGGACATCAATATCTCTATATGATTGTCATCTCTATCTTTCTCTGCTTCTAGCTTTAAACTATCCTCAGCCTTATTTTCTATCTACTTTATCCATTTAACACTCACCCCAGCCTCAGTGATCAGCAGTAATGAATAAGAGTTGATCTAGCACAAGTAGTATAGTTCCTGGATCTGAGCTCTGATCTCATTTATCCCTACCCTGTGAAGGCTTTTTTGGCCCACAGAGGCTGTGCCATGGTTCAGAGCACCAATGGTCTGAGATGTTAAAAGTAGAGGCAAATTTGCAAATAAGATCTCTAGGGGAAGAGCCATATCAGAGTCTTCTTTTAAAAGCCAGACATGTTTTCAAGGCAGGAGAAGGGGTTTCCATTGTCTTGCCCTAATGGATTAATAGCTGCCTATCCTTTAAGCAAAAAACATAATGAAATTGTGCCAGGCTGTTGGGGACAGCAATTCAGGGAGAAGGGATAGAACATGGAATGAGGCTAGAATGGGAAAAGATATATCTTGGGTTGGAATTTGTACAGCTTCCTTTATTGCCTAATCCAATGCACATACTGCCTATTTTCAAGAAAAGAATCCCTGTGTCTAATTTGAGTTCCTCCAGGTTGACCTTGAGCTTTATT